TATAGATATATATATATATATGTATATGTATACATATATATATATATATATGTATGTATATATATATACACACACATATATATATATATATGGATGATTGTGTATGTGGATCGAGTCCTCATACAACTGACTTTTCCAGGGCGAATGTATTTTGTTATGGCTGTGTGTTGATTGGAATGAGTCTTCAGTGTACCTTTGTGCAGTATGTTGGGACGGCGGTTGGGTGGACTCTTTCAAATTTCGGCATGTACTTGGCCCGTTTCCTCCCCACACACTCAGAATAGCAATAATACACATACTGGTTTGTGTGCAGGTTGTTCACTAAATGCTTCATGCATCTGACGTACGATCAAAGAATAGATTTAGTTGCCTACCATCTGCAAGCGTGCATCCTTATTTGCGTATGGAGAAAAATGTACAACTGAATGAACACTGGCTCCATTGTTTATCTGCAAGAATGGCTGTATCGTTTCCTTACGTAGTTCATACCCAGAAATGCAAGTGCAATCTAGTACATGTGTACCTATTACATGTGATTTGAATTTATAACTAAGTGGATTTATTGACATCTCAAAACCAAAATTGAATCACAATTGACATCTTATACCCCTAAGAACATATCCCCAATATGGGCTCTGATCTACACACTTCGTTATCTCTCATTGTATTTTCGAAAGGTTGTTGGCTTTGCAAGAGCAGAATCCACCGTTACATAATTGTGTGGTTGTTTGGCATCGCCGAATCTAGTGTAGCATATTTATGACCTGATTTCTATTTATTCTTGCTGGAACGCATTCGCGCGTATCTTTTTGTCAGGTAGTTAATGTATGCTTTCTATGCACAATGGATTAGAGTGCTTTTAGTGTTCCAGGCAAAACATATTTCTGTACGACATCCGTGTGTATACTTTACAGTTAAATTAGCCATCAGATCGAAGTCCGGTATATGTCAATGTTTAACGAGCTCTTACATCTGCTTTGTATGCATATCTACATTCCGAAGATTGTTATCGTCAATGGGGCTGAAGCAAGTGTGCATATAGCAGCATACAACCTTCGTTATAGCTGTCATGGAGTCGTATTTTATAAAATGAGTTGACTCCTACCCGCTAATCATGAAAATCGTTCATATCGAAGCAGACTACTGGCTTTGTCCGCGCGACGGGCACAGTGTGAATGACGATAGCGCTTCGCCTAAAGATAGTATATATTTTATAGGACACTACACATATCATCCATTTTTTGAAATTCATTTAAGTTTCCCTCCAATTCTCATTCACTTCCCGACTTCCTGTCATGCAGTTTTGTGGAGTTCTACAGCAACCAAGAAGCCGATGCAGCGCGACAAGCGCTTAATGGTCAGATCGTTAACCCATCGGATCCCTCTAACCATTGGAGGCTGGGCTGGGCACAGAGGAAAGACAATGAAGGCCCAAGGTCAAATATGGGAGGTGGCGGTATGGAAGGAGTCGGTGGTCACGGCGATAGACACGACGAATATTCTATTTTTGTCGGTGAGCTCACCGATGAAGTGACGGACGGAACATTGCTGGCTTACTTCAGAATGTCATATCCGAACTGCAAAACGGCGAAAGTGGTCACCGGTATGTTGTTAGGTAAATAATTGTGCACGTTTTATTACTCGAGTCAAAGAGGCTATATATATATATATATATATTATATAATAAATATTTATATACGTATATACATATATATGTATGTATATATATGTAGGTTTATATATATATATACATATATACATATA